GAAATGTGCTGTGATTGGTTAGCTGGGCCAGTGTGTGTTGTGATTGGCACCACTCGGCGCCTGGTCGGGGAAATGTCATGCCCCTTACCAACAATACTGCCAGCTTCAGTGTAAATATTGGGTCAAAATCAAACCAATTTGAGCGCGAATTAAACCCGGATGATTGTAACCACTCTAAGTTTGTCTGCCTTGAGAAAGCTAGCGTGTCTCAGACATAGTGATAACACTCATTGCCTTCTCTAGTGCAGCTCAACCAGGTCTCGTTCCATTCGTCGATATTTGTGATATCAAAGTTTTTGAAAAGGGATTTCTGTTCAATAAAATATCTCCTTTTGAAGTGGACTTTGAGCGTTGTAACTTTGCAGATCTTTTTTATGCTCAAACAGCAACATTACAGACTAACTTAAGTTGAAAAAGTGAAAAAGCATAATAGGACCCCTTTAACAAAAAACAAGAACTTATTAAAAAATAAAATACCACACAACAATATGAGTATAAAAGTAAAAACAATAAAAGTACAATAAAAATAAACTAAAATTAATATGAAAAATTAAGGATAATTCAAAATATAAAAATATTGAATAAAGGAATACTAAAATAGTATATAAATAATTCTAAAATAACTGCATAGAACCTATATATAAACACATATTGTAGACAATTCAACACAGGCTACAATATTATAAAATCCTCACCACAATAACAAACACTCTCTGATTCTGACATTAGTCTTAAATGAAACAGGGCCCTCCAATGGCAAGGAGTGAAACTGTGATATATCATATATTTAATATTGTCACTGTTTTAAAGATAAATTACATTGTATTACAGAGCATAGCCTCATAGACCGAAAACACAGGCTTTACTCACTGTGCTCCATTTTCCTCTGTAGACAAAAGGAAAACCAAAGCCCACAGCTGTCAGCAAAACTGTAAGAGACATCAACATGCGATGCACCTGTGAAAAAAAAATTAATTATGAAAGAATATTAAATATGCAGACAATTATGAATACTAAGTAAAATAAAAGTTCAGAATATGAAAGCAACCACAAAAACATAGATGCTGGTTTTATAGATTTTACTGAAATAGAAGCATAACTGTATATACTACATAAGTGTATACACGTACTGTATAAAAGCATACCTGAAACCATATTTTTTGCCCAAACAATGTTTGTTCTGGCCAGTCAGGTTTAAAATAGGCAGCCATTAATTTTCCAGTGCTTCCTGCTAGCATCCAGGCAATCAGCATTAGAGCTCCTGCATTTAAATTATATTTTTGATATTATATTTGGAAACTTGCAAATCACAGTATTTTGCATTTTACACTCATTTCTTGTAAAATGTAGTGGTTTATTAAATAACCAATTTGTCATTTAACTGATCTGTTATCCACACCAGCTACTGTACACTTTCTAAGAGCACAGTGGTGATAATTCATGGATTGCCCATTCCAGGGTTTGAACATGCAACATTTCCATTTCCTGACCATACATTTAACCATTCAGGGGATTCTCAGTATCCTGCAGTAAACTTAATTACAGCAGAACACTTACCATGATATTTCATGAGCAGTGGCGATCGAGATCCTGTCAGTATCTCAGGAGGGCCGGTAATGATCTGATGATGGGACGATATTAGTGGCTGCCACGTGTGTCTGTGGATCATACCTGCAGCACAATAACAAAACTGATGAGATAACTTGACTAAAGCTTAATGTCACACATAATTTCGATCATACCATAAAGATAGCATATTAAAAAAAATCGTATCCAAAGTTCCTCTAAAATGCAAGACAATTGCTGTAAACATTCAGTACATCACCTGATCGAAGTGTTTTACAAATGTATTTATGCTTGTTTCCTTGTAAAGGTTTAATTCAGGCTTTAGCAAGCTAGCTGTGACTATTTTATTCCCCATGCACCCAGCGACCCGGTCATAAAGTAAATGACAGGAAACGAGTACTGATTGCTCAGGTCTTCACAGACACTTGTTAATCAGTAAAGTCAGAAATCCGGATCTGTGGAGTAACACGCAGTGCGGAGGCCATAAAACAAGGTTACACGCGACACTGTATCTGATGAGACGCGTAATCATTTGCCAAAACTTTTTCCAAGAAGGTGAAATACAGTCCTTTTGGAAAATGCTATAGGATGCCGTGACCGGAAAGACAATTGCTGCTGTAATTCAGCATGCTGTAAATCTAGAAGTTAAAAAAGCCATCGTTTTACACACATAAGGCAGATCAGAACATTTAATCTACAGTAGCTATTGTAGTATGTCATCAGTGTTATTTTAGTATTATTTATATACTATTATAGTATTTATTAATATTTTGTTTGTAATGTTTTATTTTTATATTTTCAGCTTTTATTTTAGTCACTTTATGTGGTTTTGTCTTTTTTTATTTTTCTCTTCATCTTTCTAGTTCATATTCATATGGGGAAAAAATACTAATAGACTAATGGCTACCAGCAATTGTTTGGTTCCCAACATTCTTCAAAATATCTTCTTTTGTATTCAGCAGAGGGAATGGCATGAGGGAAATGATGAACGTGTTTTCATTTTTGGGTGAACTATCCCTTTAGAATTATTATATTTCTGTTAGTTTCTCAGGCAATATTTCTAATTTTTGTGTCATTTTCTAATATTTATATTTTATTTCAGCTGTCTTGTTTATTTCTGTATGTCATTGATGCAGTTAAAAAGCTCACCATATTCTGCAGTCCCGTGTGCTACAAACAGGTAGTAACTGTTGTTAAGGCTGAATCGGACCGGATCCTGAGGAGTGTAGATGGACCTGGAGAACTTGCACTGAATGACCCCATCAGAAACTCTCCAGCCTACATCAGTCAGCACAGACTGCAAGGCAAGTGAATCATGCTTATTACATTTACGACTGCATAAAACTTAGAGGACACGCTGACTTTTTTTTATAGGTCTTAAAATTAGGCTGTAACATGAAGCAATCCTAAAAACAGCCAAAAAAGCATCACAACCATAAAGCGCTCTCTCACCTTGGATGATACCTCTGGATATGTCCGGCCTGTTGTGTGTGCAGCCTCCACACTTACACGACCCTCGTCATTTATGCACAAGTACGCATCATCATCTCCCTACCAAACATTAAGATCTTTAGGGTCACATGAATATATCTTATCAATAATGCACTAAACACAATTGTAGCACTGGAAGGTTTGCATTTGATCATGCTCACCATCCATTTATCCTTGGACAGAGCAAAGGAGACATATCCCTGTGCAGGGCCACTGAGCTCAAACGAAACTGTCTGGCCCAAAGTAGAATAAGAAAGGAAGAAGCAGTTTGTGTCCACAGAAGGGTTACAGCTGACAGGGTCAATGAGACAAGACTTCGACGTGCCACATCCCTCTGAGGTGAACTGTAAGAGAATTCTTACAATGAAAGGCGGTGTAATGCCGCTTATAGAAGCTGATACGTTTATCATTTGTATTTTGGCACGTACTGGCTGAGGCAGTATAGAGGGGCTTGCGGATTTTGTAGACATGACGGTGGTTGATTGAGATGGAGCGGGAGTCACGTCACCCTGAGATATGACAGGACCAGGAAGCTTGAGCCAGAAAATCTTGTAGTGGGCAAGGACTGTGGCACTTGATGTGGAAAAAAAAAGAGATATAAACACAAAAATCGGTTTGAATTTTAAAAGATCCAGTATGCATCCAGTAAATGGTCTATAAATATTTTCAATATTGAAAGATAAGTCTGAATCGCACTCACAGAAACTGTACAGTGGGAGGAGCTTTGGATGGGGCTTTCCAAATCACCTGAATTTCGGTCTTTTTGGCATTACTGGTGTGACTAACTGCAGAACCCTTTAAAAGATAACACACTTTCTTTAACATTAAAAGCAGATTTTGAGCCACATTTCTCTTACAAAATAATCTGTGCCAATTGCAATTTATACAACATCATGGCGATGATCACCTACAACCAAATGATATTTAGTACAAAAGCACTCTTGCTCATGTGTTATTGCTTAAATACACAACCAAATAAAGTAAATTATGCTCACCAAGATTCATGTATTTAATAAAAGCTACAGTAAAAACAGTAAAATTGTGAACTATTATTATAATGTATATAAACTGTTTTCTATTTCAATATATTTTCAATTGTAATTTATTTCTGTGATGGCAAAGCTGAATTTTCAGCAGCCATTACTCTAGTTTTCAGTGTCACATGATCCTTAAGAAAGCACTCCAATATGCTGATTTTGTGCTCAAGAAACATTTCTTATTATCAATACTGAAAACCATTGTGCTGCTTAATATTTTTGCAGAACCAGTGATACATTTTTCTTCAGTATTCTTTGATGAATAGAAAGTTCAAAAGAACAGCATTTACTTAAAAAAATATGTATATACAGTATAATTTTGGTAACAATTTAAAGGTCTTTGTTCTCACGATTGATCAATATTATGCCTTGCTGAATAAAATTCTTCTTACTGATGCTAATATTTTAAACTGTAATGTATATTGCAGGGTTTGTATCGAAAGTTGTCTTTACTATACGTACCTCAATGCTGTTGCATGTCAAACGCTGAGAAATCTCAGGATCCACCAATGTGAATGAGCCAATAGCTGGTCCATCAGGGTTTGTAGCATCTCGGGCCTGAATTAGAAAGCCCTCAAAGTGCTCACTTCCAGAGAGAGTGACTATGGACATTGGACACGTTGGAAGGGGTCATAAATAAAGGCAACTGGGAAGCAATCAATGTTCAACATTTCTCAAGATATATAAACTGGCAAAAATTATAATGATTGGTTAATTCATATAGGTTTAACCCCCGTACCTCTGATATTGTCCCCTGGGCTGAACTTACTGGCATTCACAGTCAGTGTGTATGGGCTGGCAGTAGTGTTGGGTTGGCTGTGATGTTCTGGCATCATGCTCTCACAAGATTTCTCCACCTTTCCATTTTTGTATCCACTTATAGAGGTCAAACACAAAGTCCCAAAAATTGCCAGAGCAGTTTGTAGATTCCACATTTCCAGCACAGGCAATGCGATCCTCATCTGTGGATATGCTAAGAGAAGAAAAGCATGTGTCAAATTATGGCCATTTTTCCTGATGTTATAGTTTACACTTGCTTATTAAAATTCCTTCAGGATTCACACATATATTGACTAATGAATTTCCACGATTTTTCCTTGAATTTTACAGTTGTTTGTCATTTCTGGAAAGGAATTTTTAATTCAACATAGAAAATGCTGGGGTCTATTTTTATGTGTATGTCAGTTTTTTTTTGCATTCTGCATTAACTTTCCCTAATGAAGCAACAACAAACATTAGTAACATTTTCAGCTCAAAATTGCATGACAGTACCAATGACAATATATAGTATGTGTGTAAATAAAGATGTTGGAAAAAGTTAGTGCAGGCTTTAGAGATTGAAAAGTAAGCACTGCTCTTACCTTGTCAACAACCTGTCTACTCAGGTAATGCTGGTAGATAATAATTTTATGGTTTGAACATGAATGGGCGGGTCTTGTAACATTTTAGGACCTACAACCACAAGACAGAGACAAAATCTGAAGCAAATCCCTGGAGGTTAGTTGTTTGTTTTTATAAAAAATTGTATTTGCTTATTTGTTTATTCATAAAGTGAATTTAATGTCAATACCTGACTGGCCTACACTGTTTTTCTATCTAATTATTTGCATAAACATACACTGTGACTACAACATTTCATCCAGTTGGCCAATGTGTCTGATACTAGTGTATTTACGGTAGAGGGAAGGGGCGAATTACAGTCGTGCACACACCTCCTTCACCAGCGACAGGGACGTCCTTAAACCGAAAACAGGACAATTCACTGGTGTGTCTTTTAACCCTACTGCTCTTTAACACTGTATTGTCTTGCAAAAATGATCGAAATGTTTATATCAATTTAGATTTCAGACTGTTGTGCATCAGAAGAGAATAGTAAGCATGTTGCAGTGTAGGCCTACTGTCTGTCTTGGCTTGGCAAATGTTACAGTTGCCCTGATTACTCATTTAAAATAGACTTGCTTGCCCTTTATCCGCTAGATTCTTAACCTCGACCAGTCTGAGTTAGAGGATACTTTTTGGCCGTGCCTTTAAATGCCAGTCATGTTTAGTGTGGTGATGGGAGTCCAGTCATTTCAGCTAATCGGTTCTTTCGATCAGTTTGTTTCAAAGAACCGGTTCATAAAAAAGATTCAGTGATTCTTTTTTCTCCTTGGCTTGGCATAGCGCTTTATACGAAAATATTTTAGTAATACGTACAAATATTGCTGTTTATTTTGGATGTTTATATTAATTTTAACAATAATGTTTATTGTAATTCTATATGACAGTGTATAGTGTTTTACAGCCATGATAAATATAATATAACACAAGTTAACAAGCTAAATATAATTTGCATTGATGTTAAACAAAACAAAGATACATTTTTTCTCTCTTGGGTGTAGTCATTTCTACAGTTGTGCTATTAAAGGAGCCTAACTTTTATCTCCATCAATCAAATCTTGTTAATTATAATGAATAGATCGGTTCACTCACCCGTTCTCGACTCATTACGAATCGGACAATTCTAAAATACAGTGAACCAGTTCAACCGATTAAAAAGATCCGACTCAAACGAATGATTCGTTCACAAATCGGACAGCGCTAGCGTTACAAGAGGTGGTCTGTGGTGATGGTGCATTGAGCTTAGATACTACCGTACGGATACAATTCCTGACGGAGGTATATTCATGTATTCCTGCAGAGCTTTCTGGGAGTTTGGGTTGTTGTAGTGGTCACTCGTTATGTCATGTTATATGGTTCTTGCATTCTGTCAAACGGTCAAATGTTGCAATCATTTTCCCTGGTACAGGAAACAGTTGCAATTCTGTGGTTATTTGAAGCTACAGTCGGGCTTCTGTTAAATTGAAATGTCATATTTTAAGTAATACAGTGTGATGATTTGCATATCTTTTGGTTCACTTTTCAGTGAAGGGGGTCCTGTTGATTTCCTGCTCTTCGCTGTATTACGGACGTTCTAAAATAAGGAGGGCAAACATGACAGCAAAGCAAATAAGAGTGATGGTCCTCAATGACATGGAGAAACTTGACAGGACCCTCTTCCGTCTGGAACAAGGCAAGTTTCAGCTCACCTTTACCGCTTTGCCTCGTCCTGAGATATGAGAGTGTATTGTAGTGTGATAATGACCAGTAAGTCTGTGTTACGTGCGGAACCTTTGTGGTTAACTTATTTATAGAAGGTGTTGTGTTTTCAGGAGCCAGCTTTTTTCATGCACTAATAAATAGTAAATATAGCAGAAGAGTTTGGCACTGACTATATGAAAAGGTTCTTCCATATGAGAAAGTTAATCCATTCATAATGGAACATTCAAGCAAATACATTTTGTTAAGAACTTTTCACTTTTAATTCCATGGATGCATTTTTGAGGAAGTTATCATTTGTCTTACTTTGTTCAAAATCATATGCATCCTCATTCTCAGATACAGTTAATGCTTTCATACGAGCTGAATATAGTTGGCATCTAATTTGTACCCAGATCTAAATTCTAGGGGGGGGGGGTTGTATCATGCTAATACAAATACATTTTTGAACACTACTATGATGGTAAATAATATTGAATTTGTACAGTACAAATTACCACAGTTTTGCCATTATGAAAAGGTTCTTCCATATGAGAAAGTTAATCCATTCATAATGGAACATTCAAGCAAATACATTTTGTTAAGAACTTTTCACTTTTAATTCCATGGATGCATTTTTGAGGAAGTTATCATTTGTCTTACTTTGTTCAAAATCATATGCATCCTCATTCTCAGATACAGTTAATGCTTTCATACGAGCTGAATATAGTTGGCATCTAATTTGTACCCAGATCTAAATTCTAGGGGGGGGGGGTTGTATCATGCTAATACAAATACATTTTTGAACACTACTATGATGGTAAATAATATTGAATTTTTACAAATTACCACAGTTTTGCCATCTGGTACCGTTACTTTACTACCGTTTATACCAGAATTTTACTGGTGCCATGCAGACGTGATGGAAATATATATTGGTATTATGAAACGGTTTACTAAATACTGGACATTTTATTAGGTACACCTTGCTAGTACCGGGTTCGACCCCCTTTTCCCTTCAGAACTGACTTCTTTGTGGATAGATTCAACAAGGTGCTGGAAACATTCCTCAGAGATTTTGGTCTATATTGACATGATAGCATCAAACAGTTTTTTTTTTTTTTTTATCAGCTTCATATTTATGATGCAAAACTACCGTTCCACCACATTCCAAAGATGCTCTATTGGATTGGGATCTGGTGAGCGTGGAGGCTATCTGAGTATAGTGAACTCATTATCATGTTCAAGAAACCAGCTTGAGGTGATTTGAGCTTTGTGACATGGCGTTTTATCCTGCTGGAAGTAGCTTACTGTGGTCAAAAAGGGATGGATATGGTCAGCAACAATACTCCGGTAGGCTGTGGTGTTTAAACAATGCTCGATTGGTACTAAGGGGCCCAAAGTGTGCCAAGAAAATATCTCCCACACCATTACACCACCACCTCTAGCCTAAACCATTGATATAAAGCAGGATAGATTCATGTTGGTTCTGACTGAGTGTCGCAGCAGAAATCGAGACTCATTAGACTTTTTCCAGTATTCTGTTGTTCAATTTTGGTGGGCCCATGCGAATTGTTGCAAACCAGCCTATCTAGCACCAATAACCATGCCATGTTCAAAGTCACTTCAGTTAACTTTCTTCCTCATTCTAATGCTCAGTTTGATCTTCAGCAGATTGTCTTGACCATGTGTACATGCCTAAATACACTGAGTTGCTGCCATGTGATTGGCTGATTAAATATTTGCATTATTGAGCAGTTGAACAGATGTAACTAATAAAATGGCCAGTGAGTGTATGTCATTAAACGTTTTGGGACACATTCCACCATTATTTATAGTAACTGATTTATTATTATTCATTTATTGTACCCCAAAAATGGCAAAATATGAGTTGCACAGTTTGATCTTCAGCAGATTGTCTTGACCATGTGTACATGCCTAAATACACTGAGTTGCTGCCATGTGATTGGCTGATTAAATATTTGCATTATTGAGCAGTTGGGACACAGTTTTGGGACACATTCCACCATTATTTATAGTAACTGATTTATTATTATTCATTTATTGTACCCCAAAAATGGCAAAATATGAGTTGCGGAGCTTATGTTTTGTTTCTGCTCAGGGTTTGAGCTCCAGTTTCGTCTGGGCCCCACTCTTCAGGGGAAACACGTACACGTTCACACCAACTACCCCGCAGAAGGGGAGCGATTTGAGCGCCACAAGTTCCGCGTCTTAGACTGGATTAACCCTACTGGCAGAGAGGATGATTCAGACAAGTTCTGCACCCTTGACCTCAAGATTTCAGGCTCCTACCAGTATTACTTTGGCCATGGGTCAGTTAGATGTTTAACATTTTATATTAAAAGGTTTTCGTCAGTTCTACATCTATATTTTGTTAAAACTGTACAACATATAATTTATTTTTACTCTTCAGAGATAAGGGGAAGTCTGGTGGTGGGTATATTGTGGTGGACCCAGTTCTCCGGGTAGGGGAGGACAACCACGTCTTGCCCCTAGACTGCATCAGTATCCAGACATACCTGTCCAAATGCCTCGGGCCCCTGGATGAGTGGCTGGACAGGCTAAGAGTTGCCAAAGAGGCAGGTAAGAAGACAGCCGGTGATATTATATTAATTACACTTTTACCCAATTGTTTACCCCAAAAAATGACATTAACTGCATTTGAGCTTTTCTTAGCTTAGCAGTCTATTTGATTATATTATGCACTAATCAATAACCAACAAATAACCATGGAGAAACACAGCAAATACGTTTAAAGAGATTAAGTTAGTCCAAATTAGTAGGCCTAAAGTACCTAAATGTGTGTTTTTATTGCGTTCTTTATTTCAGAATAATTACTTTGCATTTTTAACAATAAGTCCTATTGTTGAACTCTAAATAGATTATAATTC